GGGGAGAGCCGAGACCACAAACACAAAGCCATCACCCAGGAGGACTCCGCCGTAAATTCGGAGAAACCCTTAAAATCAAATTCGGAAGACAGGTGCGTCGGCTGAACACTTTCTTCAGCGTGGCCGACTGGTCTGGCATGACCTGTCACCTACGCGTGACCCGTCACCTACGCATTCCCCGCCACGGGCACGGCGCTGCCGTGCGGAGCGGGAGCAGCACCGGGAGCAAGTCCCCCGGCACCTGCTCACGCAGAGACTGCGGGCAGAGGGGAGGGGGGCAAAAGGGAGCACCCCTTGCTTTCAAAGGTTTGAGATTACGCCCCAGCTCATCAGCAACTGAGGGTCTCAGCAGCCCCGTGGCGGCACCGGGGACTGTTATCGCCGTCCCGAGGCAGGCTCCGGTGAGGCAGGCAGCACTGAGCCGGAGCGCAGGACGAGAGCTGAGCTCTAACTCTGCCTGTGAAGCCAGCCCTTTCCTCAGCCGGCGGTGGAGAACATGTGATGAGCCTTCGTAACTCACACCGAAGAAGAGCTGCCTGAATGGTCTCACCACAGAGCAAATGGGCCCCCATCTCCACAGGCACCTCTGCTTCACTCCTATGAAAATCTCCACTTGTGTGAAGAATTCAGTGGAATGAAACAAACGTAAAATTAGACTGAAAGTGATGAATCACACTCCAAGTACGCAAAACATTTCCAAAGTTATAAATGCTACGTATTTTCACAAATGAAACAATTATTCATGGCTTCGCTTACTCTTGGGCAATGGTTCTGAGACCATACGTACTCGTTGATGTGAGTAACTACAGAGGATGCTGGAGACTTTTGGCCCGCTCTTAATTCTCTTTTATCTTATCCGATCACGTACCTGTAGGCATTGTAGAGATTCCTCTTTTCGTTCATACTCTGACACCGTCCCTCAACTGAACAGGGCAGGGTGAAGTTCCTCGCGGGGAATTCCATAAAGCAGTCGCTGTTACTGGTGCAAGAGCTCTCCTCGATGCTGGCATCGTCCAGATCCGTCACCTTCAGTTCCCCATCCACGATCACAAACTGCCGAGGGCGAAAATCCAGTAATGTCACGGAGCCAAGAGGAGAATGAGCCAAATAATGCAGAAGCCGAACTAAGCTGAGACATATCTGAAATGCAAAAACATGGGTACCTTGCGTTATTTTCTCAGTACAAAGTATATAAATGAAACCACTTTAGCTGAAGATATATTCATAAATATATGACTTAATATAAGCACTATAACTTATCTCAAAACTCAGTGTTGCAACTAAGGTATTTTTCAAAGGATTAACATAGTTGACTGTAAAACCCTTCGAGACTTGAAACAAAAATAAGCTTCTTTACCAGTGCTTTCCCACACCATTCTTGAAGCAGGGCTCATTGTTGCTATTCTTACTTTTAATAGAAATAAAAGCATTAACTTTTAATAACACATTACGCACAGGCCTTGACCACGCAGCCTGATTCTGCTCTTTTACAAACTCCAGGTCTGGAAGTTTTGGCCGGACCGCCCTGCGCCCGCGCCTGGAGCTCCAGCTGCAGACGATGTCTGTATTGCCTCCATAGTGATCCCGCCTTTTGACTGCTTTTACAATTTTTTTCCACTGACTCCTCTTATGTTTGCCTTTTTCCAGTGGAGAAGGAAGCAAATTCCCAGAAAAAGGAGCTCCACAGCTCCTCTGTAACTCTTCACTGTACCTCAGGGTAAGTACGTATGTCCGTCTACCTTGGTGGGTCGACCTTGGTGGACCCTCATGTGCTACTTTGAGGCTGGGGTGGGAGCTCTGTCCTGATCCTGCGCTTTTCAACTGCACGTTAGAAACCTGCGTAACTATTACTAGACAGCAAACTCGATGAACGCTGAACTCAGCCCCTTTACCAAAGTATTGTTTTCAATTCATGCATCCCTTAGAGTCCACTATGTAACGTACTAATGCAAACGTCGCATTAATATGAATGCGGTTAAACACTGGAATTTTTATTCTATGTATTAAATTAATAACAGGTCTTATTCAGTCTAGCAAGCTTTTTATTGTTTATATATAATCTTTGTTTTCTGTCAAAATACACTGTTAAGGCCATGTGCACTGAAGTAGTCAAATACAAATTCAATCTTGGGGCACAAAACGGTATATTCAGGGGAGCACCTAAATGCATCCTTCATAAGCAAGCTGAGCATGTCTGAAGTTATCCCTCACAGACCCTTCACCTGTGGGACATTAGACTATCTCACGCTTCTATAATCATTCTCCCGCTTGACCAGACTAGAACATTTTTAACCTGCTTACAGGATACCACAGTTCACACGGAGATGCCTGTAGGTGTAGATGAACACAGGCCTAGTTATGGGACGCCAGACTTGACCACCCTTGCCTCCCTCTGGAAGGACACAGGATTCACGTATGTGCCATCCCGCGGCACGCTGTATATAAAAGGCACATCCAGCCCAAACTAACCTATAATACACGTATCTCCAATTGCCAATCAACCCAGAATTTAGCTTGAATAAAACCACAGGCTACCATCTGAAATTACTGCCTTTTCTCAAATGCCCAAAAGCCCCTGCTCCCGCAGTGGCAGCCCCTGTCACCAGGCTGAGCCCCCACGTGCTGCTGCGCTCTGTACCTGCTGCCAGGCTGGGACTGCCAGTGCCCCTCTACGACAAGCTTTAAGGACACGGATGAAGGCTTTGCGCAGTATCACACACCTCTGCTGAGCGCAGAAGTGCTGATCTGGGGAGCAAGCTTACTGCCGAGTCCGTCAACACAAGGCAATTATTTGTAGGAATAAGGTCAAATATTTACGCAGCCGTTTTCAGGACTGGACCACAAACAAGTCTCGTGTATCAAGAAGACATGGTTTTATTTCCTCCTCCTCCTTGGCGTTAGTTGTGTTCTAGACAAGCTAATGAGCATGACATTACCTAAGATGTCATTACAGTGGTGACAGGAATGTTTCATCTGTAATTCCACCTCTGTGAATCAGCTCAGCACCTTCATCTAACTCTCCCTCATCTCCCTTTGCAATTGCTCACTCAGAAATATCCGTGCTGGAAGGAAACTCCCCTGTTTATTACCCATAATCTAACATATCTCTTGGTCATTTACTTTGTATGTAGTTGCCATCACAGTCCCTTATTTGCATTCCCTGGATCAGATGAGCCGAAGACAGGTCCTGTATTTTGGGAGCCGTGATGAGTACCTCTACCACCTATTAAGACCGTACTTCTCTCAGGAAAAGGGAGCTGAAGCTTAGCGCAGGGAACACGCTTGCTCCATCTATATTAGTAAAATAAACTCTGCCAGGGAACATTCCTGGGCACAGACACTTAATCCCACACGCGCACTGGCTAGCACGGTCTCTGGCCTGGGTCTGCTCTCCTGCGCACCCAGAGGCGACCCAGAAGGCAGCAGGGCCCAGGGACCATTTCCGAGGGGCGTCCTGGGTGCAGGCACCCGGCCCTCAGAGGGTGCGAGGATTCCACAGTACAGACGGGGGCTGCACCTTGCTGCTTCGTCTCCGAGGGCAGTCAGGCGCACTCTTTAGTTTTCTGGTGCAGAGGCAGCCATGCAATCCAAGGTGTTTTAGATGAAAACTGCTGCTGCCTTCCAACGTCTTAGGGAGTTAACCTCAGCCGACGACGCACCCCAATATACACTGAGCAAGACAGTGCTGTCTTGATCAAAGCGTCGCTGCAGTCTGGCTTCATTTTGGACAAATTAAGTGTGACCTTCGTGCTCCTGGTAAATTGCCAGTGCGGTGGACAACCGGGTTTGAGATTTGTGTACACTTATTTCACGCTTCGCCCAGTAAAAGATGAACAGAGCAGGAAGCAGTAGAAAACAATTATAAAACCAACCTATGATAAGGATCGGGACAGAAATGTAACATCCTTCTATTGTTTAAATCCCAGTTGCAGAGCACAACCCTCAGCGCCAAAAATCCTGGGCCTCGAGCTTTAACAAGTAAGAAATGTTTGAAGATAATCATGAAAAAAGCATATAACCAGCTACAATTAGATAACATCGACAGACAAAATAGCACAGTATCTTAAACACTACAGAAAGGGAGTGCTAAATGTTGTTTCTAAACCAAGATGTAATCATAAGCAAAGCAAACATTAAATAAATGTGAATTGCACTGCATAGTACGTAACCCCTGTTCCATGCTTGATGTTATTTTGTATTCCTCGCTCTCTTAAAAGTCCTTTTAAAACAGTTGTTACTCACTCGGAATCTGTCTTCCCAGGAAGTCTGTAAAAGCTGAATCATCTCTAAAGGCGAGCCTAGTTCAGTGATGGTCGTCAGCGTGTCTGGGATGTCATTGCTATCTTGGTAACAATAGCCATAGAGCTGAAAAAAATGACAACCAGGCAATATCAGCGCAACATATCTTGGCATTCTTTTACGTTTCTCCATGGATGAGGTGCAAAGTGAGCATTTCTTAGAAGGCTCTGATGTCTACACGTTGTATCGCCTTGAAGTCCCCCCCCCGACAGCTTTTGTAACTTCTCATTTGAGTGACGCTCCCTTGAAACTCCCAAATTCGCTAGCAGAGTCTCTTGTGGGAGTCATACAGCACAAGGCCAGCGAAGTGCCGCCTGTATACCCCTCTGTACAGGATCTTATACCAATGAACGTTTAAGAGAAAAAAAATTAAAATATCCATGACTGCAGAAACACAGTTCTATCTGAGGAAAAGTAGTTTAGCCTATGCAATACTTGGCTAAGTAAGACTGATTTTCTGCTTAAAAGACATCGCAAAATAGCTTTCGATGACATTTCCCAGAGGACTACTGTTTGTGCATTGAGTGGCAATGTGTATTTCAATGACACGGTAGCTTGAAAAGCAATTGAAATGCCAAAACTTGTCTTTTCCGAGCCAGAAACTGCCTCTCGGACTTTTGTGTGCAGGATCGTTAAAGAATGGCACATACTCCAAAATATTATCTGCCAGTAGCTTCTTCAATTTAAAAGCATTTAAATGGCAATTTCGGCCATGCTCCAGCTCCTTCTCGTATTTGCTTTCCAAGGACATTTGAATGATTAATTTTCACTTGCACAAATAATTGCACAAGAATAACATTTAAAGACTGTGGAGAAGAGATGTCTTGCTTTATATGGAGTGGGACAATGTCTGACAGGGCTCGGGGACAGGCTTTTACGAACTCCCTGCCAAGCCCTGGCAGAGAGGCAGTTAAATGAGCCTGATAAGGATCTGATTGCAACTTTCCAGCCAGAACAGCATGCACATGGAATAAAATTAAATTAAAATTTGCCCCCAGTCAAATAACCCATACAGTAAAAGGGTCTGTGTGAAAATGCAGCATTAAAAAATGCCCTGCTGCTATTCCTCTACTGCCTTGCCCTCAGTAATTTGACTTTTCAAACCTCTTTTACTTTTAAGAAGCTCAGGGAAGATGATGGGGGTCTCCTCCGAGCTGAGGGGACTCGGCTATGGCCCTGCAAGAAGCAGCCGGGCTCCTGCAGCCCAGAACGGGGACCGACCCTAATTCACCAGGAACGCGGAGAGCCAGACTAGCGAGTGCCATCGCTGGAGGGGGCAGGGTGAGGCTGAACGCAACCGCTGCGAGCAGATTCGAGGATCAAGCACACTCTGACCCTCCCAGGCAGAAAAGCAAAGACCAGGCTAAAGTCAGCAAATTCGGGATTTGTTATGAACCGTTCTGCTAGCTCTGACTGTAGCCGTCTAGATTTAAAGGAAAAAAGGGTGCCAAAAAATGTAAAAGAAGTAAACAATTTTTCTTTTTGGTGTAAAAATGGCGCTGTATTTCAAAACAGCTGCTTAAACACGGACCTTAACCTAAACAAAAAAAAAGAGCTAGAAGATTTTATATTAAAACATGCCAAAAAGATTTTGGCATCGATGCACAACAGAGAATTTGTGATACATGCCGGTATGAACATTTGAAATAGGAAAAGTGACCTTTCTTTTTACTGCCACAACCATGACAAAGATTGCAACAGCAATCATTTCTTAATCTGGAGCCATTCAGACCGGACTTGGGTTTGTTCCTCATCTTCTGTGACACCATTTTGTGCAGCTTATGGACAGGAGTTAAATCTTCCTGTGCTGCAAACTCTTAGAGGATCACATCAGCACAATTCTGTTTAAGCCTTCTGAGCTAATAAAAAATGAAATTAAATGAAAATATTTAATACAATATGTATCTTTTCTCAGAGACAAGCTGGATTCTGCAGTTCTTACTAGGTATTTCAGGTCTCTCGTGTGTGGGGGCAGACTAAGAAGGCAGGATGAAGCTCGGCAGGTTTGAACACCCTCACTTCGGAGTGTCAAAATCTAACATCTGCTTCTGTATCACCTGCAGAGTTCAGCGCTTGTCTTTAGCACAGTAATACTATCCATTGGGGGAAAAGCCACACGGGAAATCAGCAAGCAATCCAGACTGGGAAATGACAGTATCGCAGTAACCGTCGGTTCACAGAAACTCCGAATACAAAAAAGGTATCAGTCTTCATCAGACATTCTCAACGTTTGTGAAAACCATTCCAGGAATAGAAATACAAAAGACAAACAACAATTACACATTCATTTGATTACAAAAACATAATACATACACATCTGTGCACACCAAATATTGAGAAATTAGTCTTATCTATTTATGTGCATATGAACACATAAGTAGAAATGAATTACAGTATCTATTTCTGTCTATTTTATCTCAATCCATGAATGCCAATAGTAATAATAATGATTTAGATTTGTTCTCAGAGAGCTGCAACTTCGCTCGCAAATAATTCTTTCATTTTAGTATCCAATTTGTACCCTGGCAAAAGTCTTCACTGCCCAAGTATCTGAGTATCTGGTGTATATTTTACTAAATTAATACATATTTAATAACTTCAGTCATTGTGGAAGCTTAAATGACCTGATCCAGTTTCGGTTTCTTATTAAATTGCTCTTTATTCTCAAAAGAAAATTTTCTTGCACAGGTACTGCTGAACTTAATCAATCTTACAAGCTGAAAAACACAGTACTGAGCAAGATAGTGTAGGTCTAACTCAAAAAATATATAATCTAACCTGAGCTCTTTATTGCTTTTACTTAAGTGAAACCTCTCCAGATGCAGTGTTATTACATAATTATATAGAGTTATAAAAGCACAGAAGTCTGAGATATAAAGGATTTATTGGGCCGCATTTATACTTTTCTAAATGAACTCCTGAAACTAAATGCAAAAATGCACATGTAATTACATGGCCATATTTGTATGTGCAATTACCATGATTACAAACTGGGCAAGTCCCAACAGCCAGTTAAGCATCTAAAATGGTTACATTCATCCTCTCGTGATGAACCACCACCCAGCATACAGACGTTACAATATACAGAAAATATATACAGATGCAAAATATTCCAAGACAGTAACTCTTAGGCCTTTCGTTTAAGAAGCTGACTTATTAAGACACAGAAACAAGTACAGAGGTATTACCCAAAATACTTTTTTTTTTCCTTCCTTTTGTTTTTTTCCAATCCATTTTAAGGTCTGAAATGAGACAAAATGGTTTGTATTCCCAGACGGTGAAGTAAGAAACAGATAGCTGGATGCATACAATAACAAGAAAAATAACCACACGGGGAAACTGAATATAGCTGGAAGCAAAAGATGAGCCAAAATATCTCCTCTATCTGAAATTCTATTAGGTTGGACATCATTCTCAGCGTCGCAAAGCTACACTTTAGATACATTCAAGAGTGATAGTTTTCATACGCCTTTTCAGCATGGTTCCAATTAAATGAATGGAAAGAAATACAATCCCACATCTTTTTGCTATCTCCAGTCACTGCATTTAAATGCCACCCCAATATATTTTTGTGTAGAATTTAATAGCAAACAGTCACAATATTGGGATGCCTTTCTGTCTGCTTAGAAAAATGTACGCCAGATACGAAATGTTGACCTGTTCTCACATCGTTTGCCGTAATTCATTTCGAGTAGCCCTGTTTACCGGATCCCTCCCTCACTGTTTGGATTTTCTCAGTCATAAAGGCTCGGTCCTGCATTAGTGGTCGTCCACCCAGAACTCCCCCTGACTTCAATAGTTTTTAGGCACGCTGGGCATACAGGGACAGCCCCTGCCAAAGTTATATTGCTTTGTAGGAGCCCATGTCCCTGCAACCGGTCAGTTCACCTCCCTTTACAATTCCCTTTTGCCACAAATTACGGGGACAGAGGTGCCCCTTTCAGAGGAGCTGGGGCGGGGGGGGAAGGCGAAAGCAGAGGTCAGCCCCTACACAAAAGCTGACAAGCGTACTGAATAAAAACACGAAATAAAGGAGCTTATTAAGCTGTCATCAGCAGGGTAAGTCTGTGCAAACAACGGGCCCTCCTGCATTAGCGTAGGCTCCCTAGCTGGATTTTCAGAAAAATAAACGTCAAGCCAGAACCTCCGCCAAGGTGATACATTTCATTTATAGAGGTTGCTCAGACGGGAACGGCGGAACCGGCCACC